TTTGGTAGATTGACATATTTGAGGATAGAATCCGAGGCATTGATATCATTAAGTGGATGGAACGCTACCTTAGAGATGTAAGTACATTCCAAAATTCTGAGTTTACTTTCTGGTGAAAAAGACAATGAGCTTGTGAAGTTATTTTATGAAAGAAGCACTGGTATACCCACCAAGTCCAAAGCTGAGAAAGTCCCAACAAAGCCTCCCTTGTTGGCAGCCGTGCAAAGACTTGGAAAGGAAGGATGGGGTCGCCCTCCTAGACATGCGCAGGCAGGAAGTAAACGGTCAAACCAGACACAGGTGGTTGATAACAATCAGAGCAAACAATTTTTGGACCAGAATAGGAAAGGAGGAAATGAAGGCAGGAGTGGGGAGCGAGCGGCAGAATTCAATTTAATCTGCGGCCACCCCAAGTGTTTTGTAGGATTGGGCTGAAGAGCTTTCCCGGGTACTTTGTGCTTTAACAAGATAGAAATTGATTGCTGCCAGCGTGTCCATGTCGGTGCTTCAGCTGCTTCTTTTGGAGGGAGCAGTGGGAGACAGAGTCTCAGCAGGCTGGGGTTTTGTGGCTTTTCCTTTTGTCTGCAGCCTGATGTTTGCTTTGTGCTGAAGGGTCTGGTCCTCCTGACTGCGCTAACGCATACATACCACAAGCGGGGCAGTCAGGAGTGCAGTAACTGGCAGCTTAGATCCAGCTGTGGTAGGGAGGGGGTATTTCATCGTTGGTGTTGCGGAGCCTTTTTGCCACGATACAGAATCACTTAGTGATTCAGGCTTTCATTAGACGTTTATTAGTGATGGTTGTGGAAAATGGTGGGCAAAACTGCATCCATTTAAGAGAGCTCCTCTCGCAGCCATTTGCTCTGTGCGTTAGAAGGGAGCCGGGGAGGGAGACAGAGGAAAAGGGGAGACAGGAGTCTGCCCAAGTGGGAGCCAGTGCCTCTCACTTTCCACGGAGAATGAGCCCAGCCCTCCACCCTCGAGCGTGTCAGAGAACGCTTTTACGGTCCTGCTGGCCAGGTTCCAGCCTGCCATCACCAAATGGACCACACTTCACACTGTCATAAACATGCTTTCTCCTTCTCATTAACAGAAGACAGTGATGATAATCGTAGCAATCAGCCCCAAATACAAACAGGATGTGGAAGGCGCCGAGTCGCAGCTGGACGAGGATGAGCATGGCTTACATACTAAATACATTCACAGAATGGTGAGTGGTGAGGAAACCGCAGTACCCTGCTGGCCCTCGGGTACGGGCTCTTTCTTCCGTGAAGGCCTGTCTTTCACTAGAGACCAACTGAAGGCAGCATGATCATGGGTGAAGAGGGGGATGTTGGCAAGAGAGGGGGATGTGGGTTTAGCGCCATCTACCTTTGGAACCTGAGCAAGCCACCACACCTCTGGGACTCAGTGTTCCTATCAGTGACAAGGGGATATTAATCTGTGACCTCTAAGTTCCAAGACTCTGGAAAGCAGTGCTCTGAGGGCTTGGTTGTTTACCGACAAGTATAAAGTCCTAAGAGGGGTGAGAGATGGGGCTGTGAGGAGCGAGACACCTGTGTCTATATCCTGTCCTGTCCCCTGCCTTTTCAGAGAGGCAGAGTAGCCGCTGTGTCAGGTAGACGTGGTTCAAATTCAACTTCCTCATGTGCAGGTGTGTGACTATGGGCCAACTGCGTAAACCTCTTTGTGCCTCCATGTCCCCATGTCCCGATTAATAAAGTGGGTCGCTAATACTTACAGTACTGTTATGAAGATTAAATGTTTGTGAGGTGTATGGTATATATCAGATGCTCAATCAAGGAAAGCAATTGTTCTTAGTTCACGATAGATGAGCAAGGGCCCACTGCCACACTGAACTATGGGGCCTGGTCAGTGAGTAAAATTTATTGGGAGTTAGACTTACTCAGCATCTGATAGAACATTCTGACTGAAATATCACCCAGCTTTGGAACTGGCTATTTTATGGGCGAGCAATCTTCCTGCTTCCATGATCATGGAGACACCATGGTGACAGTTCCTGCTGGACTCAGATGCTGGACTAGACTTGTGACTCTCAAACTGTCCCATGGAGTCCCTAATGGGTGCGCTCATCTGTGCTGTGGGCACAGGTGCTCTGGGCCTCCCATACCACCTCAGCCAGAGCTGGTCTGCCTTTCTCGGGATTGTTTGTTTACCAAGGATTCTGAGATTTACAAAGACTTGAAAATCACTGGGCCAAAGCTCATAAGCTCCATTTCAGCCCTAACATTCCACAGTGGGGGAAGACAACTGGCATGGGCATAAAGGATCACTGACTAGGCCAGGAAGGTGGAGCAGGAAGCAAAAGTTGTCTGGATGGAATAAGTAGGCAGCACAAGGCAGGAGGCAGTCGGGCATTCAGGGACTTGTGGCTTTACCTCGAGGGAAGCCGACTTAAATCAGGTCCGTCCTATGGGTCAGGACCACAGAACGAGAGTGGGGTCGGGGCGGGGGGTCCTTTAGGATCTCTGTCTCCTCTTCTCTCACGGGCCGACCATTTATTTGAGCTCGGAACCAACCCAAAGTAAAAGCTGAAGCAAGATGGTGAGGGCAAAGAATAAGGCCAGGCGATCAGGAGATACATCTCCCTCCTATTCCATTCTCTTCCAGTCTGACAGCCCAGGGGCCGAGCCCAGGAAAGGTACCATTTCTGCCCTAAAAGGTCATGGCTGTCTCTGGGTGCTGCCATCCCTTGGCTGTCTGCTGCATGTGTGTATGGTCCCAAAGCACTTGATGTCCTGTCTGCATCTCTAGGAACTGCCAGTCCCGGGAGCTGACAGCTGGTGTGTGGGAAGGGCTCCAGGTCCCTGCCAGTCCCTGGAGAAACCTGCCAAGCTCTGCTGGTGTGTGGCAATACCAGACAGCAATACACAGCTCAACCCCAGAGCCTGTCTGGCTGTGCCCAGCTATGAACTAGATTGTCTCCAAACCCGGTTTCTTGGGGCAACTGTGGCTTGGGCCCTTCCTTCCTTTCTTATCACTGAAGGAATTAAAGAGGCAAGATACAGATGTGCCTTCTGCCCACCTGGCTTCCTTCCTGGTCCCTTCCCAGCAGCAGAAAACTCCAAGATAGAGGGAGTGAAGAGGTACCAGTAGCAACTACCTCATAGAGCCGATGACTTCACAGGAAGCCAATATCTGGGAATATGAGATGAAAACACACACCCATGCTGGCTGGCCCCTACATAAATTGAGTAGTTTAGTGAACAAATAAAATTTTACAGTATATAATGTCCTAGAAGTCAGAAACTAACTCCAGTTCTTCACTTTTAACTTATAAACCCTAAACCCTAAACCCTTCCTTTTTATGTGTTTGTACTGGTGTGGTTTGTGCTTTTAGCTGCACGGTGCTTGAGTCATTTTAAAATATGCATTTGGTGTTGTCTTTGATTTTTAAAAGGAGGTGATTCTGAGAAAACACCTTGTGGAAAATTTGTGTGTGTTGTGTGATTGTGTGTATGCAAATAAGTGTGAGTATGTAAGAGTGTATGTTCATGAGTGGTTTCTTTGGTGATTTCAACAACGAGTCATCACCACTGTCACATTCTTCTCAGTTCTGTTTTTATTCCCACGCACAATGAAGACTCCTCAGTAATAAAAATCAATTGGAAGATGAAATAGTTGGGAACACATAATTCCTCATTTCCTTGTCATCAGAGGACTGAAAACTTTGTGCTGGTCACAGGATTTGAAAGATGCTGGCTCCTCTCATATTGAAAATTCTGGTTTTGATAGAGTTCTTGGCAGCTAAATCTTTTTGGGCCACTGCAGTGTCAGAGCGAATTGGAACTGGTGTGGGAAGCCTAACGCTTGGCAGACAGAGCTCTTCACAATTGACTTCCCAGCCTCATCTTCTGCTCCCGCCCAAGCCCATTCTGTGCTCTAGCTCTAATGCATTACTAGCCAGTCCCAACCCACTAACATACTTTCACGCCTCCAAACATGTACTCAGGCTCTTTCCTCTGCTGAGAATGTCTTTCCCCTGTATCCTATTTTCCCTGCCCTACCACATTCTTTTTTTAGTATCCAAATGACACCTCCCTTGTAACTGTCCTTCAAAGCACTGATGTAGAATGGATGGCCTCCATTTTGGGGGCTTCCACGGCAACTTGTTAAAACTTTTTACACGGCACTGAAGTTGGTAATTTATCTTTCTGACTGCTCGCTAAACTGCTGGCTTTGTAAGGATAGGAATTGTATAGGTGGTGTTCTGGTAAACTGGTTCTCAAAAAAAAAAAATCCTGATTTGTAGCATTTGTTTATCTCCATGGTACAAATACTCTCACCATGGCCAACTTCGAGCACCCAGTGTGAAGTCACTGAACACAGAATTGGGAAGAGGCACACATCCAGCTTTTGTGAGCTGATGCAAGCCAGCTCAGTAGCCCCTAGAAGGTACCCTATTCCTTGAAACTCAAAGTCTAGCATAGGGCATGACTTATAATAAGCCTTCAATAAATGATTGGTGAATGAGTGAATGGTATAGATGTGTAATGGGGAGGGCTTACAATTTTAAGTGTGTGGCACTCAAATAAGGAAATTGGAATAAAGACACTGTGTGGGCTTGGGTGATCGCGGGTACCATTAACATCTCATCTTTGTTCCTGAAATTAAACCTTCAATTTGTTCTGTTCCAGATGCAGATTGAGTTCATAAAACAAGGAAGCATGAATTTCAGATTCATCCCTGTGCTCTTCCCAAATGCTAAGAAGGTAAACAAACAAACAAAACTTAAAATTCAAGCTTTGCTATGTTTGCCATCTGGGATTTTAAGTGAAAAACCTTGTCAACTCTTTATCGCTCCTTAGAGATAACAGTGGTTATAGGAAATATCAACAACTTGTACCACTCAGTTCAGCAACATGAATCGGAAAGGTTTTAAAGCATTATCTAACAGACCATCTCGTCCTAATTGTTCAAACAGCCATTACGCACAAAGAAGTAGTTTGTGTTTAAACTCATGAGAGAAAAAGAGACTGTTCATCTGATACTTCTTATCTCTTGTACATGAAAGTCAAGATGTGTACATTTTTTTGCTGGCTGTTCCACGGAAGTTTTTTGCATACAGTTCAGCTCTCAAAGCTGTAGAATACAAGAATTAAATCTACACAATTACCAAAGTGAACTTTGCTGTGGTTCATGAGGGATTTTTTTTTTACCAGAAGGGCATGCCAGTGTGTCTGTGAAATGGGGGCACAGACCATCTGAAGCCTTGTGCCTGGCTTGGCAAAGGGAAGCAGTAGTGTAGTAAATGTCTTGCGAGTCAGACCACAGCACACTGAGCTCAGGCCTAGCTTCTCCCTGGAGGATCCCTGGATGCCAGAACTGCATTGAGACTTCTGCTCTGAGTGAGGGAGGGTTCAATTTATGTGAAAGGGACTCTAGGATTGCACAGTTCACACCCTGCTCGATGGTATGCCTTTCCATCCCTTGCCCAGGCTCTCGTTGCTCTCACTGCAAGATCTCCTTACCGGTCTTCCTGTCTCCACTTTGACCCTAGAGTAGCCATCCTCTGCTCTGCCATCAAAGAGGAACGTCCAAAATGTAGGTCTGATCTATCTCCAGTTTAGCAATTTCATAGTGGTTTCCCACTATATGTGACTATAAGATCGTATCCACCTTTCCTAGCACAACACATGAGGCCCCTTAAAGGAGGTTTGTGCTCAGGTGCTCAGGTTCTCAGCCTTCTTTCTTATCACCGTGTGCATGGAAGGCTGTACGTCCTGGTCGTACTGGACTATTTCAACATGCCCTCACACACGCCTTGGCGCTTTCTGGTCCCTCTGCTTACAGTGCACTTGTCTGTCTAGTGACAGACAAGTCACTAGACTTGTTTATCCTTGTATTACCCAGTCTCTTCCCCCATATATTGAATTGGACCTCTCTTGAGAGCTCTTAATTATAGTACCTTGAGTCAATGGTATGTGGCTGGGGTAGAGGCGCTGAGAATAATTGTTTAGAATTACTGGAGCATAGTGATAGAAAAAGCAGACCAACTTTTAGTTGGTTTTATTAATGTTTTTAAAACTTTTAGTTGGTTTTATTAATGTTTTTAAAACTTCTTCAGACAATCCTTTTGTTGCCTGTGCTCAGGGCAGACTGCTCCTGTTGCCTGTCCCCTGAGTACACCATTGCCTAGAAAATAATTTCTTTTTCTTTAATTTTTGACTCCATCATAAGACTATGAACTCTTCATGGAAGTAACTGTCTCTTTTATTTGGGTATCATCAATACCCAGCATGATGCGTGAGACATAGCAGGTGCCACTTCTAAGCTCATCCTGCAAGCCCCAAAGGAGTGCCATCTACTCAGAGAAAAACGTGCCCGGCCCTGTCTGACTCAGCCCCCTCTACTTCCAGACTTCCTCACCTCCTCTGTCTCGCTCACTCTTCTCTAGCCACGCTGGCCTTGTTGCTCCTTAAATAGGCCAGGCGCTCTCCCACCACAGCATCTGCACTGGCTTTTCTGTCGGCCTGGACCCAGACCTCCGCAAGGCTTGCTCCCTCTGCTCTTTTCCTAAACACTCTATGAACTGCAAATCTTTCATCCCAGCTCCAGCACTGCCTTATCCCTTTTCTCTGTTTTATTTTTCTCCGTAGCATATAGCACCAATGAACACACTATACGTTTTACTCGTTCACTATCTGTCTTTCCCTCACAGAATGTCCACTCTGTGAGGGCAGTCTGGAACTGCACCACCCCCCACCCTGATCCCAAGCTCACAGTTTCTGCCTTTGCCTGATAACTGAGGTCTGGTGGGATCCTTTTACTGCAGACCTGTGGCTGGAGTGAAAGGATAATGAATTAGATTAAGCCCACAGCCTTGGCATACTTCTTACGAAGCAACAGGGGAATTCGCATCACTCTGCATGACCTCAGTCCTACCCCTTTTATGTGAGGGTGGTGAAAAGCACGTTGAAATGCAAAGGGCAGGTAGCCTGGGAGACTAACAGAAAATGCTGCGCACATGTGGTTTCCATAATGAAATATACAGCTTGCACCCGAAGCCAAGAGCACGTCACATGCTAACCCCTTCCAAAAGCAACCCCCAGGATTGTTTGCTAGGAAACGGCCCTGAAGGGAAAGCCATAGATGTTTGGGAACTGAGCCTGGGATCTGCAACCCAGGTTTTTCCCTAATGGTTTTTGCTCCTGTCATCCTCTCTCTCACAGGAGCACGTGCCCACCTGGCTTCAGAACACTCACGTCTACAGCTGGCCCAAGAATAAAAAACACATCCTGCTGAGGCTGCTCAGAGAGGAAGAGTATGTGGCTCCTCCCCGGGGGCCTCTGCCAACTCTTCAAGTGGTACCCTTGTGACACCCTCCATCCCTGGATCATTGGGGCCATGCCACATCTGAGGCCTGTTCTGACAGACATTCTTCTAGCTAAGGCTGGTTGGCCACATTCGCGGGTATTTGTTTTCAGTGCCTCCTTGAGGGGCCCTTCAACCCCAGAAAACCTGTTCTGCAGAGTATTCTTTCTCCTGTGACCTCCACAGACCCTGTCTTGAAACAGGCCATGGCTGCTCTGTAGTCCCTGCTTCTTACACCCACTGCCTGTTCCTCCTGACTGTCTGATGCATTCATTCTTGGCCTCTCACTGCTTAGCAAGTAGATCATATAAGTGATGTTGCAATTAATGTAAATGACCACAAACACCCTCTTGTTGCTTAAGGCTTCTTTTATGAGATCACCAGATGCTTGTGTGGCCTCAGACAAAATGGATTCATGTACAAATAATAAAATGTTTACTCTTTTGTAAGATTGTGTCTCACTTATCTCAAAGCAGATAGATATATAATAATTTATAATAAGAAGAACAGTTGCTTCCAGGGACATCAATAAAGCTCCTTAGATATAAATTAGATAAAGGTAACGGACAACTTTATATTAAAGGATTAAAGCCAGATAGTTAAACAATACCTTTTGACATAATCTTGAAAGTTTTTTTCGTGCAGGAGAACTTTTTAACAAAACATCTTTGTACAACACATGACCATGATTCCAAATAGAATCATAGTTCTTAGGGTCTAGCCATATATGTAAAAATATGCGTCTATTGTATGAAGTGACAGGGGAAGTATAATGCAGGCTAAAATTGTGGTTTGGGAAGCCTGAGTTCTAGTCTTGGTTCTACCACTACCTAGCCGTGTGACTTTAAGCAAGTCCTTTCACTTTTCTGAAACTCTGGGGATTTGTTTATAGAATGACATGGACAAAAAAGCATCTCCGATGACCCTAAAAGCTTTAAGGTCTAGGATTTAAATTCTAAATACTCTTTCAGGAATGACTGAGTTTTCATTTTCATAATATATGTGTCGGGGGATGAAATTACATTTTCTTAACAGAGATATCTTCTCTCTGAAGTTATCTTCAACAATACCCTCACATTAAAATTTCTAGGAAAACAAAATATATATCTTGCTCATCTGTTCTCCAAAGAATAAACTAGTGTGTGTGTGT